GGCTAACCTTCCTCGTGAGACATGACCTGGTGTTCGAATCTTTCGATTCTACTCCGTAAAAATACTTACAACAGTAGAAATTTTGATTGTTTTTGCTCACCCGATTTTATGAGATTTTTTATATCAAGATAAGAAAGATTAAAAATTAGAAGTTCAACATAAATTTATAAGAAGGATTTTTTATGGGATTTACGTACATAATTTATTTTTTATGTTAAGATTTATACGAATGATTTTTTATGTCAGCATAAATTATAAATGCATTAATTACTACTTGATAAAATTAGAAGTTCATTAATTAAGTTTGACTTTTCTACCTACTATATTTAGTAAATAAGATACCTTTAATATAAATATAGATATATAGATATAGATAGATAGATATAGAAATACATTGGGAAATTGGAACAGTAAACACGCTTTTATATAATATACCATATAATTATGACTGCAATTTGTAACTTAGTCAAATTCTGCATTTTTATTTAATGTATATATGTATCCCAGTATATCATGTTTTTTAAGTTTTCATATCTAAAAAGTATGGCCAATGGTTCTTGGGTAATTTTAAAAACTACTTAAGCTTTAGCTACAACTTAATAATTAGGTAACAAATTAAACATGTTTCAGATTAAGATAGTTGTGGATTTGGTCCATATATTGATTAAAAAATTTGAATTGCAGCAGATAAGTGCTTGCAAACAGGCTCTTATACAAGTTTGGTTCATTTAGACTTGAGGATTTAGGGTGTGTTTATTTATAACATAACTCGGTTAATACTCAAAATTCAACTCAACTTTAACTCAATTTTACTATGAATTTTATGAACTAGTGCAATACCCGTGTATTACACGGGTGCTTACTAATTTTTTTTTCTTAAAATTTAAAATTAATGAGAAAAAGTGATTGAAAATTTAGATACTTTTTTATAAAAAAATATATATTAGTATAATCTAAATATGACACTTGTTTCTTGTGCGACTTCCATGTGTTATATTATAATAATTATTCTAACTCATAACATATAACTACATTAAACATAAATATATTAATTGAATAATTTTAATCTTCTAATTAATTTTAATAAATAATTTTATTATTACTATAAATATAAATATAATTTATTTATTTTATATATACAATATTAATGTCAAATCGAAACTCATCAAAAGATAATTAATGTGACATGTTATATATGTAAAACCGATAAGAAATACAAAAGTTATCAACTTTTAAGATACATTTACAGTTCAACGGTTATAATTGGAAACAATATTATAATACAATTAATACATCTAAAAGGATAATAAATAAATCAACGAACTTAATTATTTTTGGATTGAGATTAAATTAAAAACTAGTGCGTGGCCCCTGCGATGCACGGGAAAAAAATATTACAATTCTGCTATTAATTAAATATACAAATAAATTAATCAAGATTTACTCATCGTTTTTAAATTAAATCGTGTTGGACACAGTCCGATCGGATGGACCGAGAACCATTTTATAATCAGTCTAGTTTACTTGAATAAAATATTTACTATTAAATCCGTCAACACCAGTCGGTTGAATTGGTAGGATCAATATGATTTTTTAAATAAATTTGGATATTTAAAATTATTTTGAATAAAATTACATATTTAAATAAAATAGAAATTTATAAACTATTTTCAATTAATTTAAATATTTGAATTTCTGAATTGTTTAGATATTTAAGTAACACATTTTATTCAAATTTATTACAAAAAGTACTACATATATATATATATATATATATATATATATATATATATATGTATATTAAAGCGTATTTATAAAGAAAAAAATTAAATTGTATGATTTTTATAAAATAAATCGTATGATTATATTAGAGCGTATTTATAAATTAAATTGTATGATTTTTAAAGAGAAAAATAAGAAAAAAATAATAAAATTACTATTTATGGCTGCATTAAATGCTAACCTATTTTTTTGCTACTAATTTTAGTAAATAAGATGACTCTTTATATAAGTATATATAGATTTATCCAAGCCAAATAATGAAGCATGAAATTTTGATACCTAGGATCTCGAAACATGCGAGTCTGTCACTTAGGCTCAGCATATTCGAGAATTATATATAGGGGGATATAATTAAATAACAACAATCAACCATTCTTAACATCACACGAATTTAATTCACTATTTACCCATTCACGTGATTTTAACTAACCACCACTTCACATCATCTCTATTTCTCGTCAAATCACCTCTAATTATTTTATTTTAATGTAAACTTAAAATGCCACTAACAAATAATTATATCACTTTTTTTTTCAAAATTAACTATAGTTAATCAAATAAATTCGTTTTGAGCGGATATATATGTATTCAAACACGCCCTTAAGATGCAATTTTTATTAAAACCTTGCTGCTATGAAACAAGTGTAAAAGATTGTACATATGCAAGATACTTACGAAAAGTTAAAACGTCCAAAGTTGCACAAGGTATTACAAACATCAATGACTCAACGAGCTTTTATGAAACTAATGGAGGTTGTATTAGCTTTTGGATTTGGATCAGATATAGCTCTACATGTCTGAATTCTTGTGCGCTCGACGTCCAATAGTTGTCCTATCATATGAGTGCTTTAGATGAACAAAACATGGAATTAAAGAGTGAACTGTCTTCAATTCACATCCTCATCGAGAAACTTTACAACAATAATCCTAATGTGTTTTCTTCAACAGTGACACCCACCAATCCTATTGATGATTGTAGCCGAATATTACTTTAGAAATGATAATGACATGAGATATGGCGCGGATGAGTTTTAGGAGCTTTAGTTGTTTGTCTAACTTTAATAGTAAATTGTGAGAATGTTTGATTTTGTGTTTAAATAACGATAGTAGTTATTATTATGATATCTCAATATATGATAATACTTTTGACAATTATGATTTATTCGTCGTTATATCGGACATGATGATGATGGTTATCATTGTTACATTGTACTTGTGGTTAGTGAATGATATATGGTGGAATTTGTATTTGTTACCTAATTTTTAGTTACGGTCTTGGTTATTTTAGTTCTTTTACTACAAAGTATCATGAATCCATCAAGTATATCTTAGTTATTTATTGTACACATTACAAGATTCTAGAGAATAATTAAATTGACATATGAAATTTCAACGAAAATTTCCATTTGTAATTCCCACTCCCCATCCTAGTTCCAATTGTAGGATTACCATTAAAATTCTCAACAAGCTTATATTGTTGGAATGGTTATTGAATTATTCCAACAACCAACGAGCATTTGAATGGGTGATGACTGATTGAATATATGTGGTAGTGAATTTCATAATTTAAGCAGATAAATGGATACATGCCGTTGGAATGTTCCTAGGATTTTGATATTGGAATTAGTATTGGATTTAGTTTATTCCGATGAATGATTTTTCAACATTCAATTTTATGTTTGGAATTTTTGTTGAAAAAGCAATTCCAACAAGAAACGTAGAAGAATCCATCGGAATTTTTCTATTGGCATGTGCCAATTTTTTTGTACTGTTGACTTTTAACAATATTTGGTGATTATTGCTTCAGTGGTTTGACTTTAAGTTTCCACTGACTTTTGCAAACACATTATTCTTGATTTTCTTCAATGCAAGTGAAAAAACTAGAATTGATAAACATTTATTTTCAAGTTGTTCAACGATAAATGATGTGAGTTTATTCCAATCTCCTCAACCCAATTATCTAAACAAATGATGCTAATATATGAAAAAGATCCATACTTATGTGGAGACTTAAGCCGAGCGTCTGAGGAATGGGTTTCGGTTTTCGGGCTGACAGCTTGGAGATTGTGGCGATGGCGGAACCTTAAGGTCTTCCAGGGAGCGGATGTTTCCTTGTCTCAAAGGCTCGACGAGGTCTCCTCTTTTCTGCGCAAGGTGAGCTGCAGTTTGGATGGTGGCCGACAGCTAGGGGTGCATTGCCCTCGGGAATTAAGGTGGTTATCGTGGGCTAGTCCGCCGGAGGGGGTACTCAAGGTCAACTCGAATGGCAGCTTCAACCCTTCGTCGGGGATGGCTAGTGCGGGTGGCGTTATCCGCGATCATTACGGTAATTGGGTGCATGGTTTCTTAATGAACATCGGCTTTTGCTCTATTATTGGCACCGAACTTTGGGGTTTGTTTCAAGGGATACGGTTGGCTTGGGACATAGGGGCGCATAAGGTGCAGGTTGAGGTCGATAATAAGAGTATAGTTGACATGGTGCAGCAGGGTTCTCACTCCGGGGTTCATGGCGGCCTTTTGAATGGAATTGCGGAGCTTTTGGGTCGCCAATGGGAGGTGGAGATCTGTCATGGTTACCGGGAATCGAATTTTGTGGCGGACTTTTTGGCTTCTTTGGCGGCCAAGGGACCGAGCGGCTTTTATGCGTTGGCGAGTCCTCCACCGGGCGTAGGCATGTGGTTGCTTTATGATCAGGCTGGGGTGTCATATCCTCGATCGGTTCCTCCTTAGGCAGTAGCCTCCTTCTTTGCACCAAAACAAAAAATAAAAAAGATCCATACTTTACATAGATAAAAGATCAAATTTTTTCCTTTATCTTTTCGTCTTTTCAGTCTCAATTATTTTCCACCACAGTCAGACATTATGCACAAATTTTTACAATAGTATAATATAGCATACTTGACAAAATAAATAAAAATAAAAAACACTATGTAAAGAT